AGGCAGGAGACGCTTCTGCAGCCGGCGACAGAGACAATACAAGTAGAGGCCATTTCCTTCGCCGAACCTACCTGGTTGAAGGAGATCGCAGATTACCTCAGGGACGGGACCCTCCCCAAGCCCCCGACTGATGGCAGCACGGGGAAGGCAGTCTGGATCAGGAGAAGGGCCCCAAACTTTGAGCTCATTGATGGACTACTCTACAAAAAGACGTTTGGCGGGCCTTACTTAAGGTGCCTCACGCCGAGCCTAGCCGCAGCAGTCCTAGAGGAAATTCACGAAGGGATCTGCTCGAGTCACCAAGGGCCGCGGACCCTAGCCCGAAAGATCATCCTGCAAGGCTATTACTGGCCCACCATACAACGAGATTGCTTCAACCACACTCAGAAGTGTGCGGTATGCCAGCAGTATGCACCAGTGCCGAGACGCCTGACGAGTTTTTATACCCCGATGACCACTGCTTTACCTTTTGTCAGATGGGGGATAGACTTGTTGGGCCCTCTACCAAAGACGACTGGCGGGCGGAAATTCATCATCGTGGCTATCGACTACTTCACTAAGTGGGTAGAAGCCGATCCGCTGACCACCATAACAGAATATCAGTGCCAATGCTTCGTCTGGCAGAACGTCATATGCCGATTCGGGATCCCAGAGCAGATTGTCACAGACAACGGATGACAGTTCGTCGGAAAGGGGTTCGAATCATACTTGGAAAAATGGGGAATCAGGCATTCCAAGGCTTCGGTCGCCTACCCTCAGGCCAACAGCCAGGTGGAGAACATGAATCGCACCATCCACCTGGCCAGAGCAACTCAATTACGTCCTATGGACGTACCGGATGTCGGATGACCCCAAGGACTGCTATGGGGGAGACGCCCTTCGCCTTGGCCTATGGTTTCCTAGACAAGGTACCTACGGAAGTGCTGGTGCCCACTCATCGCACAAAGCACTTCCAACCGGAAGACAACGAAGCCACCTTACGAGCTGAACTCCACTTCATTGAGGAACGTAGAGACCTAACAGCTCATCGAATGGATAAATACCACCGAGCCACACAGAGATATTTCAATAAGGCGGTAAAAGTTCGTGAAATTAACACCGGCGACCTCGTCCTACGAAAAAGGGAAAAGAGCAAACCGCTCGAAGGTGGCAAGATGATCAAGAACTGGGAAGGACCGTACAGGGTCCAGCGGCGGTACAACCATGGGACGTTCACCCTCTCAACCTTAGAAGGCAACCCTGCTGGAACCTGGAACGTGGACCACTTAAAGAAGTTCTATCAATAGGCTGATGAAAAATTCCCTCCGTAAAAAAAAAGAAGGGGGAAGGGAGACATAACTCCTAAAAAATCCGGGAATCCTACTGGGATAAACCGGTTCCGTGCTGAAATCTGTCCAAGTACCGAACGTACACCGATTAGCGGACGTACGAAGGACCACAGATAAGGTAGTGGGGCAAAACTCTCGGGAACTCTAGCGGAGTAAACCGGTTCCGTGCTGAAATCTGTCTGAGTGCGGAAGGCATAATCGGTTAGCGGGACGTGCGTAGGGCCGCAGATAAGGTAGTGGGGCGAAACCTTCGGGAATCCTGCTGCGATAAACCGGTCCTGTGCTGAAATCTGTCCGAGTACTGAACGTACACCGACTAGCGGACGTATGAAGGACCACAGATAAGGTAGTGCGGCGAAACTCTCGGGAACTCTAGCAAGTAAACCGGTTCCGTGCTGAAACCTGTTTGAGTGTCGAAGGCATAACCGGTTAGCGGGACGTGCGTAGGGCCGTAGATAAGGTAGTGGGGCGAAACAATGAGGCTGAAGCATATGTCACCAAATGGGACGTACACAGCACCTCCACAAAAAAGGATGGTTACCACGCCAAACACAAGGCGATCAAAGAGGAAATCAATCTTTATTCTTCAGCTCTTCCGGCTGGGAAAATACAGAGTACAAATGTAAAGGATGAATGATTATGGATACAAGTACTAGGCGACGAGCGGAGCTTCATGCTTGATCGCCGTCCGGAGCTGGGGCCTTGAAAGGAGGTTGCCCTGTTTTCTCCTTGGCCTCGGCCTCCTCACGCTCCTTGCGCTCTTTGAGCAATTCGAGGGCCCCCTTGTAAGCATCCACCATCAAAGAATCGAACCCGGCTGCCGTAGGGTCAAATGGAGCTCCAAAGTGACGCTCGATGACCGGGAGATTCTCAGCCACAAGGCCGATCATACCTTTCAAATAGGTGACATCGGCAAGATCGTCAAGGAAGCGTTCCCCAGTGGGAGTACTCTTGAGCAGCTCGATACCGGCTAGATAAGGATCCTCACGAACAGCAAGATACTCACCAACGTACTTAGAGAGGAACCTCTTGGCCACAACGTGCAGCGCATCCGTATAACCCTTGGATTTCTGAAACTCAATGGAGCCAACTTCCTTGATTTTGGACACATCGGCCTCGTAGATAGGGACATGATTGTCTTCCCCGCTCCGTTGGAACTCCACACCAGCATTGGTAGCAGCCCACATTCGGCTACGGAGGTCCACCAGCTCGGCCTCCTGTTTTCGGATGAGCTCCTTCTGAGAGGCATTCTCCTGGGCAAGCTTATCAGAAGCATCAGCCTTCCCCTGAAGGTAGCTGACCTTACCCCGGGCGTTCTTGATCATGGCATCACACTCCCCCCGCAGTGCGGCCATCTCCCTTCCTTGGCGCTTGAAGTCCATCTGTGCCCTGTGGAAGTAAATGCCGGCCTTATCCAGGGTGCTTTGGCCACACTCAAGAAGATCCTCCGGGACTTCCTGAGCGGCAAACTCCTGGGGAACCTTGAGATTGAGACCACACCAGATGGAAGATGCGGTTTGACCAAAGAGCATCATAGACTCCTTGCGAGTACCAATACCAGAAAATTCAATGAGCCCGAGGGTGGGCTGGTTCATCCCCGCGGCCTGGGAACCAACACCATGAACGACCCCATCCTTGGAAGCCAGAGATTGGGAGGAAGAAGGATGAGCCTCGTAAGCATCCTCATCCCTGAGACGACGGACGTCTGAGTTCTTCGGAGGCGATGGGGGAGGTTTGTTCCTAGAAGCTGACTTCCGCTTCAAGGGGCTCCCAGGTTCCTCATCGGAGTCATCCACCACCATGATGGCCCGGGAAGTTGTGTCCTCTTTACGAGATCTCTTAGGAGGCGGGCCAAATTCAGAAGCCCCCTCAGCTCGTGATTTGTTTTAGAGTTTCGGCTTGAGATAATTGGGACTTGAGAAGTTGGTCAACAATGTCTTCTAGGATGGGAGTTTGGGCTGTTTCAGGAGTGGGTAGAAGTGGCTTTTGTTGTTGATTTGAAGGGTATGGAAGATTTTGAGTGAGTTTATATTGTTGCTGGTTCACAATACCTTGGCCACCTCTGAATTGCTGTTGTTGGTTTTGGAAACCGGGTGGTGCACTCCGGTAAGATTGTTGTGGATTAGCAGCTCCATTTTGATTGCTCCAGGAAAAACCGGGATGGTTTCTTCCTTGAGGATTGAAATTACCAAACTGATTTTGTTGGGGCTATCTGTTGTAGTTGACATAGTCAACTTGTTCCATTGATTCCCATGGACAAGTGGACTGATTGTGTTGTCCACCGCAAAATTCACACATAAGAACGGGAACGGGGGCTGGAGTTGATGCAGAGTTTTGCACAAGAGAGACTTGTGCCATCTTTTGGATCAGAGTCATCATGTTATCGACCATTGTGGTTATGGCCTACATTTGATCAACTTCGTACATGCCTCCAACTTTTGGTGGAGCAGATGATCGCTCAGAATACCATGTTGATCCATTTGATGAAATGTGTTCCATCAATTCTTCCGCCTCTTCAAGTTCTAGGCACATGAATGATCCATTTGCGGACGCGTCCACGAGTATCCGAGAATTTTCACTTAGGCCTTCATAGAAAGCCGTCATCAAGTGCCAGTTTTGGATGTTGTGATGTGGACATTGTCGCTGAAGATCTTTGAATCTTTCCCAAGCCTCATAAAGGGGCTCATTGGGATTTTGCTTGAAATTTTGAATCATTCTCCAGATTTTTGCCGTTTTAGATGGCGGGAAAAATCTTTTGAGAAATTCACCATGAAGTTGATCCCAAGTGGAGAAGTGATTGTCTGGAAAAGAGTCAAGCCAACTCTGAGCTCGATCCCGTAGAGAGAATGGGAATAAGCGTAGTCTGACACCATCAGATGGCACACCATTGATTTTGAAGGTGTTGCAAGCTTGAAGGAACTTTGTGATGTGATTATTTGGATCCTCTGGTGGCGCTCCGCCAAATTGATCATTTGAAACCATTTGGATGATAGCAGTCTTGATTTCAAATTGATTCATGTTAACCTCCGGTGGAATAACACTGTCATGCTCATTCACGGGAGGCGTAACATAATCATATAATGGCTTCCTGGTCCTCGTAACCTGATCCACGATTGGTTGATCTGGTTCCTGCTCATTTACAACAATATCGTTTGACATTTTTTTTATCTTTTTCTGTTCACGTATGTGCTTTTCAATGTCATAGAAGAATAATAATTCACAATTTTTACCACGTGAACGTGCAAGCATAAGCAGAAGGGAATTGGGATTGGGAAGAGAGAGAGAGAGAGAGAGAGAGAGAGAGAGATGAAAAGAAAAAAATGTGTAATTAATCAATTAAAAAATTAGGGTTCGCACGTAGTCAATTGGTATAAACCGAGACTAGTGAGCCCTTAAAGCAGTATTAATATATACAGTAATTCACCAGGATGCGGCAGGGCCGACAGATATGGTGATTTGAGAAGAAGAAGAAAAATAACTACAGTAATAAATACAGTCTCCACCAAGATGCAGCTGTGCCGACAGTCTGGGGATTATTAAGAAAAAATAATAAAAAAAGTGCACGCCACCAACAAGCGGACAGGGCCGACAAGCTTGGGGATGCAAAAAAAAAATGCAGAAATTAAATTGCTGAAATTAAAGTGCGATAATTAAAGTGCAGAAATTAAAGTGCGATAATTAAAGTGCAGAAATTAAAGAGTTGGTCCGACCATGTAGGCGGAGTATCTTTTAAATTATTATGTACAAGTAAACGGTCCGACCATATAGGCGGATTATCCGTTGAATTAATATGTACAAATTAGCGGTCCGACCATATAGGCGGATTATCCGTTGAATTAATATGTAACAATATGTCCAATGGTCCAAATGTCGAGATATGTTCAGTCAACAAGTCCAACTCCAATGCTCAGGTAAGGTAATTAATCACAGTTCAATATTTTTTTGAACTTTAATTAATCACTTTTTTTTGTTTTTTTAACCTGCAAAAGCAAACAAGATAACAACAAAATAATATTCACACAATTTACAATAACTAAAATCAAAAGTTTATGCTTTAACTTTTTTTTTTCAAAACCGCTTCCCCGACAACGGCGCCAAGTTGGTGTGTAGCATATAATGGGCACACAACTATTTTTTACCCAAGGAAGTAGGGTGTTAAACCACAGAGAAGCGGGAAATAAAATAATTAAGCACAAACTAAGGGTTAAAGTTGGGAATGCGTTCTTTTGATTTTTGGTTTGCTTGAAAAAGTAATTAAATAAAAGTGATTGAGACGAGAGATTTTTATCAACAACACAAAGTTCAACCAATGGAAAGTAGGGGTAGAAATTGGTAACTAATTGTTCAATGTTTAATTTGAAAGACATAATTGCTAATTTTACTCTTAGATAGATTGTGAGAAGTTGTAGATAAATATTTTAGGACCCAACACAAGTCATCTAGAATAAGTAACTAGTCAACATTTCCCAGTGATGGCCAAAACGAGACTAGTTGTTTAAGTGCAACGACAACCTTAATTATTAACTATATTATTTACCCAACCCCGTGGTGTGAATAATAGAATTAAATAATTAAATTCTCCCGTAAAACTTCAATCCGGGACAAGGTAAAAGAAGTTTAACGGTGAGTTCAGAAAGTGTTCATTTGTGTATTTAACAAACAATATATTTATGATTGAGTACTCATAATATATATCACAAACACAACTTAATTAATTTTCTGGACACAACAATCTAAATAGAACAAACTTAACAATTAAAATCAATACAAATTAAAACATGATAAGAACAATTAATTAACCAATTTCTAGCCCCAAATTTATTTAGCTATACATGTTGGGAAGCTTAGAAATAGATGAATTCATGATTTAAGTACAAGATTTAAAGAGATAAGGAAGATCAAACTTGTGATAGATGACAATCCTTGGAGCTTTGATGCTAATCTTGACTTAATCGTGATTGAGAAAGTGATTAATTGAGGTTGAAGGTTGGTTGATGATTTGGAGGTGAAGAATGAAGAGAGAAGGGAGAGGAAATGTTCCTGGGATGAGTAGTGAGAGAATGGCTCGAGATTATGTGTGGAAGGAGATGGATTAAGCCTTATAATCATAAGATGATTAATCATTAATGGCTGAAATTTACGGAAATGATGAGTGTATATACTAAAAGGCGTAACGAGGCAATCACTAAGTGACTTTGCGCAGCGGGAGTTGGTGCTTTGACATTTCGTAGCCTTCTAGAGTTCTAGGTCGCGGGTTTGAACCCGTGCTTAGACTTCTTTTTATCTTCTTTTCCTTGCTGAGATGAGATGCAATTAAATAAAGCTCCAGCTGACTTATCTCAACTTTGACATTCAGCTCACTGGTTCAAGATGCTCTCTTTACCTTTGCAACTTGGGTTTGAATCTCACCTCCACCTTTTTCCTTTTTTGCTTCCTTTCTTCAATGTATCCTTATTTGCTTTTGAAGGAAATTTCACTTTTATTGACATCAAACTTGAACTTTTATTTTTTTCTTTTCTTTATTCACATATGATCCAAATAGCATCAAAAGTATCTGAAAATACAAAATACTCGTGTAGCACTGCACAAGTACAAACTAATGACAAATAATAAAAATATGTACAAAAGTAGAACTTTAATAACTAAAATTAACAACAAACTAAGCCTAAAAAGTGTGTAAAATACAAGCACATCAGTACAATAGAAATGGGAATGAAATACTGTCACGTTCATGTAATAAACGTGACAGTATACATTTGCCAGTAACTGAATCAAAAAGTGAAACAAAGAGAAAATGAGATTGTTACCCTCATCTTGAAGCATCCCTCTGCAATGAAACTAAATGTTTCTCAAACTTTAGAGTCAAATGAGTAGTTGATGAAGTTGCTTCTTCCAGCCGCTTCGTAAACCATGTTTGCATTCTTTCACGGAAAAAATCCAAAAGCTTAGCGACAGGGTACTCTCTTGCATTGGCATCCATGCTGTTCATGGCCTCTGCACAGTTAGAGGTCATAACACCCCATCGACTCTTAACTGCCATGCTTCGAGCCCACTTTTCCTTTCCAATCTTCTCTATCAAGGGACGAATCCTAGCATCTTCCTCATCCAACATGAACAAATATTGATAGCATTCACTCATAGTTGCAGCCTCCCATGCAGCTTTAAATTTCCAACCATGGTTGGATGAGTTACCTCGAAATTTGGATCTCATATTACGCCACAGATGTTCACAACAATATCCATGGGCAGCGTGTGGAAAGATGACCTTTGCAGCTTTGATAATACCTTTTTGTCTATCTGACACAATGTACATGTCATCACGATGTTTAAGGCACTCTTTGAGCCTTGTAAAGAACCACTTCCAAGACGCAGTGCTCTCAAAATCACATACAGCAAACGCTAAAGGCACAATCTGTTTGTTTGCATCTTGGCTGCAGGCGGTAAGCAACGTCCCTTTGTAATACGCTTTCATAAAAGAACCATCGATAATAAGAACAGGAATGTAATGCTCCCATGCTCTCTTCCTTGGTGCAAGTGACATGAACAAATAGCGAAACGCGTCATTTTCCCCTCTAATGAGCAAGACGTCAGATCCTGGATTAGCTTGGTCAAGCAAATGGAGCATCGACGGTAACAATTGGTATGCCTTTGAATATGAACCAAATTGTTTTCTCATGGCGGCTTTCTTTGCAGGCCAAGACTTCTTGTATGATATCGGTATTCCATACTGCAACAACAAATCATCCCTGATTTGTTTAGGTGTATAGGGTTTTTTGGAAGCATCCATATACTGATGAGCAACAAGGTCAGCAATCATTGCAGAAGTGGCCTGCCTGTGGCGAACACCTTGCCTAAAGTCTATTGAGCAAGTGTGATCAACATCAAATCTGTATGTAAAGAACAAAGAATAAATATAAACTGATGGATACATAAAGTACGGGACAAGGTACACGCGTGACAGTAACTGTTGACAGTACACATACACTATGAAAATAATACAAACCCATGTGGAAGAACATAGCAGATGACAGTATAAAGGCTTGGAAGTACAAGATGTGCAGTGACAATATTCTTATGCAATAAAACTTTGAACTAGGAACCACATAATGCAAGATTTTTGAAATACATCAAAAACAACTAAAAAATATGAATGAATTAAGAAATATACCTTCTAATCTGAAAAAGCTGAACACCTTTGAGCCTAACAGCACGAACAACCCATTTACAATTTATTTTGTCCAAACAGATTACATGCAATGAATGCTTCTTTGAAGTCTTTGCCCAAAATTGGAAGCTATTATTGATCGCGTACATTCTAAGGTGATAAAGTAGATCTTTCTTGTTCGCGTATATACCATGGAACACAACCTTAATAGGAGAATAACATGTAATGACATCACAGTTCTGGTTTAACACAAAGGCATCTGAGGACTGATTTTCTGAATTTTCAGAACAAGAATAAAGCGAGTCCTCATCAAGGGAATCTTCATTCAAACATTCAGGAAGTACACCACTGCATGACCTGTGCTCTTGGAAGTTATTTTTATTCAAGGAAACACTCGACTGACCGACATAAAAGGAAGATGTGGATGAAATAACATTATCAAAACTAATTTCAGGAGTACGGGAAGATATTTCAGGATGCAAGTATTGTTCTAGAGAATAGACAACAGTGAAACCGGTATTTGCATTGCACAGATCAACATTAGAACAAGTTGCGGGTGTGACCAAAGTATTTGGAGTAGTATTTGGGGGCAGAGCTTGTAGGTATCCGGGAAGCACTGAGCTGGCTAAAGGAATTTGGAATTACCTCGGTGGAGGTCGAATCTGATTCAGCTGGGGCAATTTCGGAAATCCAAGGAGGTTCAAGTTGCTCTTTGGTGGGACTTTTGAGAGACGACATTAGAGATTTAGTGTATTCATTTCCGTTCATTTCATTTTGTCATGTGCGGCGATCAGCAAATAAGCCAGCTCATTTGTTAGCTAGGGCGGCTTGTTCTTTGTCTGATATGCAGTCTTGGGTTGATTTTCCTCTTCATTTTTTTTGTTTCGGCTTTGGCTAACGATTTGATTAATATTAATTAAATATCTTCCTTTAAAAAAACTAGGTAGTTTCTCTTTGTCAAATTGTATACATAGAGGATACTTTGAGAAATCTGATTGAAGGATCTTAAGATCAATATAAAAGCGTAAACTAGCATCATCATTGACTCTAACAGGTGGAGGACATGATTCAACAAGGTATGATATGGTGAAACGTGGATTGCATTTGATTTGATCAATACTGCCATTCAGAATGTCTAAGAGTGATGAATATGTGCAAGAATATAGGACATGAATACCTAATGTCGCCTTGTTAACGAAGACAAAGTTAGGCCCCCATATACCATCCAACTTGACCATTATAAGCAAAACATGATCCATTGCAGCAATTACAATATATACGAACACTGCAAAAAGGAATTGATGAATCTTAGAAGATTAATGAAATTGGAACAAATTACAGCATTTCAAAATTTCTTTGAATATTCATAGAAATTGAATATCAAGCAGATACACGATCCATTAGAACACTTTGAAAATAGGAAAAACAAACTGAAAATCATCGAAGCTCAATACGCAAAACAGGAGAGAGTTAAACAATTGAAAAATCGAACAAAATACCTGGTAAAAAAGTTGTCCTCGAGCAGAAAAATTGAGAACAATTCAAACCTTTTCCGAGCTAAAGCCTCGATCGAACAGAATACCTTGTCTGAAGTGATTTGCCATCCTCACGAAGCTCAGTTTTAGAGTTTAAGCCATGATCTTCGAACGTCAAGGTGCAGAGACAACGAGAGAAGAAGACGGGAGAACTGAGATTCGTTAAGTTTGGTATGAGAGAATCGGATGTTAGGCGAGAAAGAAACAACAGGGTTATTTTAGGAATGAAAATATGGTATGTTTTTAATAAGGAGCAAAGGATTCCCATTTTCGGAAAGAAAGTTAAAAGAGTCCCATTTTGAAATTAGGAAAGCTAATTAGTCCCATAGGGTAAATTCTCTAAAAATTACGAGTAGATTTTTTTCAGAGGTAGAGCCCTCTAGAGCCTCCCGTCTCTACCCTGTTTGAAGTTGAAAATAAACTGCAATTCATTGTATGCTCAGTGTTTTGCACGGTTTGTTCTGAGTTCATCCAGCAGATATGTCAAATCTGAGTAAGAAGATCCATCCTTCTCGATGGCCTTCCTTGCGCTATCTTTCAACGCTGCTGCTCTGTTCCTCATCTCTTCTGACTCTCCCCCCACCATTACTTTATTGATCGCCTCTGTAATCGCTTCCTTCTCCACACCATCACTCTCCGTCGCTTTCCATTCCTTCGACCCAACCCCAACTCCGATCCTCAGAACATCGGTCACCAGCTTCTCGTTGATGAACTGCTCGGCGAAGACCGGCCAAGTCACCATCGGCACCCCGGCGCAGATCCCTTCCAGCGTCGAGTTCCAGCCGCAGTGAGTCACGAACGCGCCCACGGCCGGGTTTTCAAGAATCAGCACTTGTGGGGCCCAGCCTCTTATGATCAACCCTCTGCCTTCCGTTCTCTTCTCAAACTCCGCCGGCATCCACTCCTCTTTTCCGTTGTCTTCTTCTCTCTTGTTTCTTATCACCCAAATGAAATCCTGCCCGGAGCTTTCTATCCCCGCCGCCATTTCTTTGAGCTGGGAAGCGGCGAAGTTCGCCATGCTTCCGAAACAGACGTAGACGACGGAGTTGGGTTTCTTGGAATCCAGCCAGTCCATACACTCTGTTTCTCCGATTGAGGATTTCTTCCCTCTCAGAGATCTATCCTCCATGTCCCTGTTTAGAAGGGAAAACGGGCCCACCATCCATGACTTTCGACCAAGAACATTCCTGTAGTAATCTGCAAATTCAGGTTCCAGCTCATAGAAGCTGTTAAAGATCACGCCGTAGCTTGTTTCATCCGCATACCTTACTTGATTCATGAAAGCCGTCATGGGGTGTTCATCTCCGCCGCCGCGTTGGTGGTCTGGAACTTGAACTCTGGTGAGCTTCAGTTGGTGCGGAAGATTTGGAATTGTGAAGGGTTCAGAATCAGAGGAGACGTTTTTGTAAGGCTTGTGAGTCGCCAGACTGTGCGAGGCACACAGGGAAACACAATTTGTTCCGTGGAAGACCAACCTCGGAATACCGAACTTGGCGGCGGCCGCCGTCGCCCAAGGGAAGAACATATCGGCGACGAGACAGTCAGGGCGGAGCTCTTCGAGGAGCGCCTCCAAGGGTTGTTGGAGTAGGGAGCAGGCCTTCATGAAAGTGGGAATTGATTCGCGGGAGGGGAGCTGGTCGACACGCTGGCAATTTTCCGGTAATCCAAGCTGGACGCCGGGGAACTCGACCAATCGGATCTGGATTTGGTGCCCCAGCTCTGTGTATTTACGAACGGCAGAGGAGAAAACGGGTTCGTTGAAAGGGGTGGTGATTATGGTTGCGGTGATGCCACGGGAAGCGAAGAGCTTGGCCATGTCCAGAGTTGGAATCATGTGGCCGTGAGCCATTCCAGGAAGGAAGAAAAGATGAAGTTGCTGACTATTATTACCCATTTGTTGACCACTGAGGATGATGATTATACAAATGAATCTTGGTTGAGAAAGTTTATGGCAATGTTCTCTTTTGAATGAGACGGATGTGTACTATTTATCAAAAATGGTTAAGACTTTTTGTGTACACCCCTTATTTACCTGTGCACATGAAAATTGGTTAAGAAAAAAATAACATTTGTCTCCCAATTGCCTATGTACACAAGCAATGTACAAAAAGTATATTTTTTGTGTACACTAAACATAGCCCACTATTTATAGCGCAAAAGACGAGGGAAATTTAATCAAATTGGACTTGCACCTGGAATATTAGAGTAAAAATGATGTAACTGTTACTCTCTATTTGTGTAGAGAATATCCGTAAAAGAAAACCACAGTTTTTTTGAATGACTATGTAAAAGAAATTTGACAAAGTTATGTGGGGCTGAGGAATCATATCCGTAATGGAGTATATTGTCCAATACCTTGGGGCCTAAACAAGATTGTCCAAGATAGTAGCCTAAGTTATTTACCTGGTCGGCCGAGACTCTGTGCGGAGTACAAGGTCTCATCATATGCATAATTCTATAGTGGCAGACCCATTCTGCTCTGGATCATGCTAGCTCAATGAGGCCAAGCCTAATAACCTCCGGTATAGGCATTGCATCGACGCTACCGAACAAAGTTGAGTGGCCTTATCAGTGTGAGATAGGTTATGATTTCATATTTAGATATATCTTGGACATTCTAGACATGTACATATTCAGGGCTTACATTACGGTCGCTCTCATTTACATTAAAGGTTCACGTTCCGAAGAGCTTACATCATGAATGACATCATTGGACAATCTTCGTGGGATGATATTATCTTACATCACCATGATGTCAGCGTGCGTGTTCTCAAGTATTCCAGAAAAACATGTGACTCTCATTAACTAACATTTTGTGCTTAAGGTCCAAATCTTGTATTTTCATCCCTTTTCTCTTAGGGAAAAAGACTAAAAGTATTATACTACTATTCCAAGATAATGTAAGGGGTAATTTGAGTTTGCACCCTATATTATTGTCTAAATTGGACTTTGCACCCCGTTTTTAAAAACTATTTGGTTTTGCACCCCCAACCCCATATGAAAAGACAAAAATGCCCCTCCATTTAAAATTCTGTTGAACTTCAACATATTCCTGATTGAGGGCATTTTTTTATTATTATTAAAATAATAATAATAATAATAATAATAATAATAATAATAATAATAATAATAATAATAATAATAATAATAATAATAATAATAATAATAATAATAATAATAATAATAATAATAATAATAATAATAATAATAATATTACTATTATTGTTATTATTATTATTACTATTATTATTATATTTTATTAGTATTATGATTTTTTTGAATGAAATATTATAATGATTATTATGACTACTATTATTATTATACTAATAACAACAACAATAATAATAACAATATTATTATTATTATTATTATTTTCAATTACTATTATTATTATCATAATTATTACTCATATTATCATTATTATTATTATTATTATTATTATTATTACTCTGTATAATTTTATTTACAATAATTATTGTAATTATAATTATGCTTTTTTATAATGATGATTATAATTATATTTAAATTATATTTATAATTACAATTATAATTATAGTTATAGAAATATTCAAATCAGATCAGAAGAATTCAGATCATATCAGAAGGAATCAAGTCAGATCAGACCATATCAGAAAGATTCAGATAAGATTAGAAAGATTAGATCAGATCAGAACTTAAAAAATTCAGATAAAAAACATTCAGATCAGGTGAAGAGAACAACTTCTAAGTTTTAAAAAAATTCTTGGATCGAAACTTAAAACATTGACATACTACGTCTATCATTATTTAAAAGATTTTCTTTCCTTTTCGGACTGCCCCTAAAAAAGTATCTTTTTCTTATTTACGAAACAAAGCAGTACAAAATAGTTACAAACAGTGCCAAACAATGTATAAACAATGTCAAACAATCGTCCTTTCTGAAATTGTGTGTAAAAAGAAAGGACACCTTTATATAGGGACAGAGGAAATATTTTTTATACTTCCTCGGTCCCATTTTCAAATTAACTACTCCCTCCGTCCTGCTAAGATTGTCTCATTTTACCTTTTCGGAAAGTCCAACTAAGATTGTCCCATTTTACCTTTTCGGAAAGTCCAACTAAGATTGTCCCACACCAAATTTGGTAAAGTTTGTGTGACTCTAAACCATTTTTACTTTATTCTTACTTTATCAATTTAATATCAACTACACAAACTCACTTTTCTTAATAAGCAAGCCACCTTCTCTTGTCCCAATCTTAGTAGGACGGAGGTAGTAGTTTATAACTTTGCTCACTTCTTTCTCCTCAGCACAAATATTGTTATTTTTCTTTCATTTTTGTTAAACCAAAAAAACTTTGTGTCTTTCTTATTAAGGTAACTAAAGTGTAGCAAACAATAAAATACGGAGGGAATATTATGTATTGGACAAGTTATATTTCAATTAGACTTGAGTTACATTCATCAATGACGTGAGTTACATTTCTTTACACGTGAGTTACATCATTCAGCTACTGGAACAAGAAAAGAAGAAGAAGTAATGTACATGCGTGTACGGTTCACGTGTGTACAGTTCACGTGAATATTTTTGTAAATTGATTAAAACAACGTCGTTTTGGACGTGTGACATGAAGCTATCCCACGATAATATATTAAGAGGCCGTTTGGAACCACTGTTTTTCGGCTTATCAGCCAACGTCTCACCAAACACGTAACTTTTGATTTCGCGCGCTGAATTGTGTAATAAGCAGAAAAAGTAAGATTGAAGTTACTTTTCTGGCTGTATTGGTTGAAATTACTGTAGATGACCATTTTAGCTATTTTTACGTATAATTTTTTCTTTATTTTATTAATCAAATATATTTTAAAAATAATTTTTTCTTAAATCACCAGAATCGGCCAATGCAGCCACTTCAGCAAGAACTTCATATATTTCAGCAGAAACAGCCAAAGCAGCCGATTTACGTGCTACCAAACGGGTTCTAAAACTATTTGCACATAAATACTCCGTAAAAAATACCTCCTCCGTTCTTTAATTCTTGCAACATTGTGATTTTTGCACTATTCACAGATCTTATTTTGATCGTAATTTTCTACTAATATACATAATCAAATTATTATGTATAACATGTTATTGGATTCCTATCAATGTGAATTTCCAAAATATCAACTTTTTATAATGTTTATTAATACATAATTAAATATAATTACAGTCAAAGTTGTATGTAACAAACGTAAAAGTCATACTGTTGCAAGAATTAAAGAACAGAGAATATTACAAATTTTTTCAGAGTAGCCCTCGAAGTCCAAAACCTCCCTGTCTCCACTCTCCACCCTGTTTGAAGTTGAAAATAAACTGTAAATGACTCATTGTCCACTCAGAGTTTTGTACCGTTTGTTCTGAGTTCAAACAGCAAATAAGTCAAATCCGAGTAAGAAGAACCACCCTTCTCGATGGCCTTCCTTGCGCTATCTTTCAACGTTGCTGCTCTGTTCCTCATCTCCCCTGACTCTGGCCCCACCATCACTTTCTTGATGGCCTCTGTAATGGCTTCCTTCTCCACACCATCACTCTCCGTCGCTTTCCATTCCTTCGACCCAACCCCAACTCCGATCCTCAGAACATCCGTCACCAGCTTCTCGTTGATGAACTGCTCGGCGAAGACCGGCCAAGTCACCATCGGCACCCCGGCGCAGATCCCCTCCAGCGTCGAGTTCCAGCCGCAGTGAGTCACGAACGCGCCCACGGCCGGGTTTTCAAGAATCAGCACTTGTGGGGCCCAGCCTCTTATGATCAACCCTCTGCCTTCCGTCCTCTTCTCGAACCCTTCCGGCATCCACTCCTCTTTTCCGTTGTCTTCTTCTCTCTTGTTTCTGATCACCCAAATGAAATCCTGCCCGGAGCTTTCTATCCCCGCCGCCATTTCTGTGAGCTGCGAACCGGCGAAGTTGGCCATGCTTCCGAAACAGACGTAGAGGACGGAGTTGGGTTTCTTGGAATCCAGCCAGTCCATACACTCTGTTTCGCCGATTGAGGATTTCTTCCCTCTCAGAGATTTATCCTCTATGTCCCTGTTTAGAAGGGAAAACGGGCCCACCATCCATGACTTTCTACCAAGAACCTTCCTGTAGTACTCTGCAAATTCGGGTTCCAGCTCATAGAAGCTGTTAAAGATGACCCCGTAGCTTGTTTCATCCGCATATCTTACTTGATTCATGAACGCCGTCATGGGGTTATCTCCGCCGCCGCGTTGGTGCTCCGGGACTTGCAATTTGGTGAGCTTGATTTGGTGGGGGAGATTCGGAATTGTGAAGGGCTCTGAATCAGATGAGACGTTTTCGTAAGGTTTGTGAGCCATCAGACTGTGCGAGGCACACAGGGAAACACAGTTCGTTCCGTGAAAGACCAACCTCGGAATACCGAACTTGGCGGCGGCCGCCGTCGCCCAAGGGAAGAACATATCGGCGATGAGACAGTCAGGGTGGAGCTCTTCGAGGAGTGCCTCCAAGGGTTGTTGGAGCAGGGAGCAGGCCTTCATGAAAGTGGGAACTGCGTCGCGGGAGGGGAGCTGGTCGAGACGCTGGCAATTTTCCGGTAATCCAAGCTGGACGCCGGGGAACTCGACCAATCTGATCAGGATTTGGAATCCCAATTCTGCGTATTTACGAACGGCAGAGGAGAAGACGGGTTCGTTGAGAGGGGTGGTGATTATGGTGGCGGTGACGCCACGGGAAGCGAAGAGCTTGGCCATGTCCAGAGTTGGAATCATGTGGCCGTGAGCCATTCCAGGAAGGAAGAAAAAGTGAAGTTGCTGACTGTTACTACCCATTCGTTGACCACTAAGAATGATGATAATACAGAGGAATTTTGCTTGAGTAATGCTCTCTTCTGAATTAGACAGATGTCTACTATTTATAGCGCACAAGACGAGGCAAATTTAATCAAACTTGTACGGCCGGCGGTATAGTGATTAATGCACGGTCGGTGGCAAACTTGTAATTTTTGTGAAAATAACAGGAGATTTGTATATTGTACGTACAACTAGTTATACAGTGACCACTGTACAGTTGGTGACAAACTTGTAATTTTTGCGAAAATCGCGAATTCACTAAATGAGCATTTATGAAATTTTGATGAAAATCAAGCATGTTCTTTTGAGTATTGGGAGCCTAACGGTGAACATCAGTGATCTCTGCTTCATAACTTATGTATCACTTTCTGTTTATTATTTTTTTCGTTTATTAAAAAGTCTTAAGCTATGTCTATAATCTATTTCAATTAATTTCAATATGTGAATCTAATGTAGTACGATATGTTTGAAATGTGCAATCTGTCCAAATTTCAAAGTGCTGACATCATGAATGACATCACTAGACAATTTTCTGGGTGACTCATTTTGAATGACATCACCATGATGTCAGCAGGCGCCACACGTGTTCCCAAGTATTTTCAAGGACACGCATTACTCATTATCTACTCCCTCCGGATCTTTTTAAACTTCAGTGTTTGACTTCACACTTATTAAGGAAATAAAGTTGACTTTACTGTAGAGTACACTGTTGAGACACTGTTTGGCACTGTTGAGACACTATTTGGCACTGTTTAGCACTGTTTAGCACTGTTTTGATGTAGATTTCTTTGCCAAATAAGGAAATAAGGAAGTGTGAAGTTTATTTTGGACCGTCCCAAAAAGGAAAGTGTGAAGTTTATTTAGAACCGGAGGGAGTATCATTTTGTGCTTAAGGCTCAAAATCTTGTACTCCCTCCGTCCCATTTTACCTGTCCTACTTTCTTTTTTAGGTTGTCCCAAAATAAGTGTTCACTTTCCCTTTTTGGAAAGAAATATGTGGCTTACACCATTTCACTTTATTATACTCAAACCTCAACCACAACTTTTACTTTTTCAACCACTTCATTAATAATCGTGCCAAGTCAAACTAAGACACATAAAATGGGACGGAGGGAGTATTTTTTACCCTCTTTCCTTTGCGAAAAAGGCTGAAAGTTTTAGAGCCCGTTTGGTATAAAATATTACTCCTTCTGTCCTTAAAAGAAGTTCTATTTCACTATTCAATTGTTCAACTTAAATCATTCTTAATCTCTTACTTTTTATATCAAAATTTTATAAAAGTTGAATTATTTTCTGCAGGCTTTGTAGCGGGTTTAATGTAGTTTTTGAATATGTAAATTTTATTTACTAAAAATAATCCGAGTTTTCACAGGGATCATTTAACTTTATCGTCGGTCAAGCTTCGTAATCCGCAATTGGAACAACATTTAGGGACGGAGGGAGTACCAAATATGGTATAAAATAATATAGTGTTGCAAATGAAAATGAAAAATAGAAAATAATAAAAAACTAAGTATGTCATGTTTATTCTTGTGTGAAGTAATCCCATATTTGATTCTCGTATATGGGATTTCAAATACACAAACTCAACCTTAAAAAAAATACACAAACTCTAGGAGAGGTTTGTGAAAAATATGCTCCGTAACACTCATATATTTCCACTTTTTTAGCCGTAACATTCATATTTTTCAATTTCTAATCACATCATACTATCAATAATTTTAAAAATAATATACCATTACATGTTACAACTACTTTTGTTCTTTCATTCCAGCACACTGTTTCATTATCTTCCTATCATATCCTCAATAATTTATACGGAATATCTCATTTTAGTGATTTCACTATTCTTAATCTCATCTATTTCAAATCTGATACTCGGTATGTGGGATATTGGGATATACGGAGTATCTCTTACTTCTAGTACTAGACAGAACAGTTAGCCGGAAGAGAGATAATAAGAATTAAGAATAGAATACTCTCGGTAACCAATAATTGATTATTAGAAAATTAGTTCGGGGAATGTCCAAAGAAGGAAGAAAACATGATCCTTCCGACAAGTGGGGAAAGAAGAAAGCTTCAAAGCTACGTGGGTGGGGCGTTCGGCGCAGCGGCCGGGGAATTGACAAATACGGAGTAAAAATCTACACCCTATATTCTATACCTATGGCAACCGGGCGGTCGGGCGGATCGGGGACGGGTACACATAAAATCGAAACCGCTCCGTTGGATAAATGTTTGCTCCAAAACCGTCCCATTACTTGTTCGGGTAATTTTTATTTGAACCGTACCCGTTGAAGCTCGTTTCCTTATTTCTTTCAGCGAGCGTAACTATTCGACGGCAAAACTATGTCGTTTTACGACCGGGCACACCATCCTCATGGTGCGTCGGTCGTATGGTATAATTTGCGCTGTTTTGAAGGGAAAACGGGCCCACCATCCATGATTTTCTACCAAGAACCCTCCTGTAGTGCTCCGCATGATCTGGTTCTAGATCATTGAAGGGAAAAAGGACCCAATATTTTTTTGATCAACCAATATTAAAAGTCAATCGTTCCTATCAATAATTAACTCAATTTTTAATAATTAAAATTTACATATTCAGAAACTACATTAAAATATCTCGAACTCCAAATTAGAAATTATAATTAAAAGTTGACATCCTAATTAAACAAATAAAATGAAACTCTTTGACCAAGAAAAGTCAAATTCGCAAATCAATTTGAGACGGAGATAGTAGTAATTACCCTAAATAAATAAGACTAGATGAAAACATATATCTTTCTACCCTTAATATTCATAATTTAATTAATTAATTGTCTCCCTAGTTTTTTTAGGCAATCGAGGTAGTCCGCTAGTGACGGTAGAGCTCCGGCGTCTGATGGCGGTAGGAGACGGGGTGGGGAAAAAAGAATCTGTAATGTTTTTTGGCCCACCGGGAGTTCGGTTGAGGCAACCAGCGAATGGCTGCAAGGACAATTGTGGTTGGTGGGGTAGACATGCAGTGGGTGGGTTTGATACATGCAAGGACATTCTTGTCCAAACATGAAAAAGTGCTACTCCCTCCGTATCACATATATCTTCTCACTTCCAAAGTGGGTGAGATTAAGAATAGTGAAATGGGGTATGAATTATTGAGGGTATGATGGGAAGATGGTGAAATAATGTGATGGGATGAAGGATAAATCCAAAAAAAAGTAGGTGTAGTAGTGTATTATTTTTTAAATTATTGAGGGTATGATGGGAAGATTTAGAAATGAGAAGATATAAATGTTACATCCAAAAAAGGAAAGTGGGAAGATATGAATGTTACGGAGGGAGTATTTTGGAAATTTTTAAACTTCTACTCCTATTTGTGATTTTGGCCATGTTTTGCTCATGTTTAGGTAATTCAGTCGAGACCATACTTCTTCTCTCCCATAAAATTCTTCCTTTTGACTTGAACACGAGGTTAATAAAGTCAGAATAAAGTAGAAATGAATGATTGTGGTTGAGAAAGAAAAATGTAAAATGAATGTCAACCACACCAAACTTTTCAAAAAAGGAACTGAGATAAAATGAGACAATGAGACATCCCAAGAAAAGAATTTTATGGGACTGGGGGAGAATTATGCATGAATAAAGTAAAAATTATGAAATATTACCTCTGTCCCGCTAAGATTGTCCCATTTTATCATTTCGGTTCGTCTCACTAAGATTGTCTCATACCTTATTTGGTAAAGTTTATGTGGTTCTAAATCATTCTTACTTTATTCTTACTTTATTAATTTAATATGAACCACGCAAATCATTTTTTATAGATTTGCGTGTTACTCCCTCTTATCCCATTATTAGTGAGACGGAGGGAGTATGTGTTAAGGGAGGTGAGTTGAGCAGGGGGTTGGGAGAGTTTGGGTTGCAATGACAGTAAGTCATAGGTGTGTCGGACATGTCATTTTGGACAGTCAATTGGACACATTTTAATGCTCACTTGAGCGCTGGAGTCACTACGGTTGTGGGTCACTAGGGCATCTACGGGCACCAAGGTCACCGGGAGCAACAGGTCATTGGGCCAGCGATGGCACGTGGACCAAGGGGTGACATGGTCACTATGATGCTGGGTCATATGGACCGCGGTGTAACGATCATTAGGCGGCGGAGTTACCGGAACAATGGAGTTACTAGGCGCCGAAGTAACTGAATGTATATCACTAGGCGCCTAGGCGGCTGCCACTGGTTTGGGAGGGATAGTCACCATGCGCTACTTGATTTCCAATTTAATACGTACTCCCTCCGTCCCAAATTGTTTTGCAAAGTCAACATTTTTTTGTCAACTAATAATAAAAGTCAATGCTCCGTATTGATAATTAATTTAATTTTTAATAATTAAAATTTATATATTCAGAAATTACATTAAAATCTCTTCAAAGTTGTAAACTTCAAATTAGAATATAATTAAAAATTGACATTCTAATTAAGCGAATAAAATGAAACTGTTTGACCAAGAAAAGTCAAATTTGCAAATCAATTTGGGACGGAGGTAGTAGTACCTATTTGGTCACTTTTGAAACTTAAAAACTGATCTTTTGACAAAAACCAACAAATTAGTAATATTCGTAGTATTAGTCAAAAGTCCCATAATTTAATCAATTTAATCCATAAAAAAAGATACGATGTGGAAAAAGTCGGGGAAAAGGGACATAATCATAAGGAATATAATAACAACGAATGATTAATGATTAGAAAATTAGTTTGTGGAATGTGCAAGGAAGGAAGAAAAAATTATCCTTCTCGCAAGTGGTGAGAGAGGAATGCAATGTGGATGTAACGTAATGGATGACCACCTGCACACGATCTTGTGACTCAAATTTCGAAAGGCGTTTGGGAAATTACTGTAACCTCTCGGGTTAGAACAATTTTGCTTTGATTTTTATTAAGGAAAATCACTTATTTAGTTGATTACAACGTTGGTTTATACTTCATACTCCTTCCGTTCCGTTAACAATGGGACAAGAGGGAGTGACACGCAAACTAATAAAAAGTTGTTTATGTGGTTG